TCCTTAGTCTTTGTATGGTTTCAATAGCTGTCACTTACCTGAAGGCAAGATGCATCCTGAATAACCGTTATGAACGTATGACTGCAGCAACCCATCCTAACTGGTTCTGCAGAGCGTCAGAGTACATTTTATTTGTGTATTTTTGACTACTAAGAGCTAACTGGCGCTAGAGTGAACTTTGCTAAGCAAATGGATAGACGTCACATCATGAGCTTTGTTCTCTGGACTTCTCCTCTGTAGTTTGGAAGGGAAGTCAGCTGCAACTCCGGGTAAGTTGGCAGCGGGGCTTCAGGTGGCTGCGAACCCCAGGAAGCATCCCCTCATGCCCCTTCCTGCGACACAGCCTGCTCTGGTGGGGGTAAGTCAGCTGTCAGGTGGGAGTTACCTGCAACTCCAAGAGCGGGGCAGCAGCACGTGTGGCAGGGTCGCAGGGCACCCCGGGGGGCTGCCAGAGCCGAGGTAACTGGGGCTTCCGAGAGTGAGGCTTTAGTAAGACACATGGTGCCTGCTTTTAAAACTTCTAGCTACCCTTCACTCTGCTGTGAATATTTCGTGGCATAATGAGTACACCGATAAGATAGTGCTGCTTATCAGCTACTCTGTGACTATCAGTAGAGCCGGTTTTGAAGACAGGTACAATTAGCTACAAATAAGCCACCTCACAGGAAAATGCTGTGGTGTGTGCTGCGGCAGCAGAACTTCTTAATGCGTATCTTATTTTTGTCATTTTGAGATGTCAGTGACAATGTACAGGCTTCTACAGAAAGTAAAATGCATGTTGGAACAATTACGCATGGCGGCCCAAATCAGGCCTTATTGATGGACCCCTTGCAACACTGAACCCCCCCGGTACACCGAGGGACTGGAGGTGCTGACCAGCTTGTGCTCTGTTCGCTGTAGCGAGATGGGCTGAAACGCGGGAGATGTGCGGAACCGGGGCTGCTTTGAGTTACAACAGCTGTTCGGCAATCTGAAGGTTTCCATCTAAGCAATAAACAGTTCGGAGACAGAACTGCACGCGTCATCGGCCGCAGTCAAAAGGCGGTTCTCCAAGGTGTAGGACTGCAGAAAGGGTTCCCACCAGAGCAGCTAAACAAGTGTTCCTGCCAGTTGTATTTAGAACACGCGGCCGCTTTATTACAGTACCAGCAGGGTGGTCTTTGCCCTGAATCTGAGCAACTATCCGCAGAAAAGTGCTTTGAAAGCTCTGCTTCGTCATGCATCGCTAACAGTGTGGTGAGATGTGTAACTAGGGGCTACAATTAAGCCATGAGGACAGATGAGGGGAGCAAGCGCTGGATGTGTTGCCTACCTGGTAGACACCTTCGTTCCCTTTGCCTCGCCGCCTCTGCTGCTTTGAGAAAGAAAGAGAGGCATAGATCAATGGGTGGTTTTCCTGTTACGCAAAAGGAAAGAAACCCCTGACTTCCCCCACCCTGTACTGAGGGTCAGCAGCTGCGCTTGGCCTGGATGCCCTCTGCACAGGATTGAAGGCGCCTGCTAAGTCTGGACCGGCCCAGACACACTGCAAGGGCTGTAGCAGGAGAAAATAGCGAGGATTGGAACTAAAAAGGAAATTGTTTTGGGTTGCTGACATATTTTCCTGTCATACTGTTATAATGCTGCTATTTCTTTGACTTACTGTATGTATAGAGATTTGGCAACGTTCCCATAGACACCGATTGTTTTATGTGCTGCAGGCACACCTGGAAGAAATGGGGCTGTATTTTTTTAGGTTACTGCGTTATCAGCTGGTGCCCGGGGGACTCTGCCCTCTATTGGACAGACATGGAAGGAAATTCTCCCGCAGACGCTTGGTGAGCTGTCTAGGTGTTCAAAGGAACAGCAGACAAGGCTGTCTGAGCACCAAGTCACGCAGGATTCAGTAAAATAGGTACTGGGGCTGTCATGGTACAAGTAGAGCATACAAACAAGGTCGCTCAGACCGGTCAGGTAGAAAGAAAAACCTTCTGCCTGAATCCGCTTGCTGCTGCGTTCCCAGGGGCATGGGGAGCTGCCAGAGAAAGCAGCCGAGTTGTGCACGAGAGCGCAACATTTCCAGGTGAGACCCAGGGACAGCAGCGCTTGCAGCGCCCGGGGTGCAGGCTGGCACCTCGCACCCACGGCCGGTCATACCTGCCCCGCGGCAGCAGAGCACCGACCGTATCACAAACATTTCACAAACGTGGTAGAGAGTAGTGCCTGCCACAATTAAAATCGCAGCAGTCTGTTAAACGATCATATCGCTAGAATGAGGCAAGGGGTTTGGGGTCCCCAGTAATAGAAACAGGCATAAAACCATGGCAAGGACTTCATATACTCATAGCTTGTAAACTGAGCTTGAATGTAGCAGATGGGCGTTAGAATAATAAAAAAGGGGAGGGGATTAAATGTCGGTGTTGCTTCAGCATTTCTCAGCACTAAACTTCGTTTTGAAATGCCCACCTTCTCACTTTTCAGAGGGAAATGAAAGGTTATATTTAAGACACTTTGATATAAAAGAACCTGTGTAGGTCACAGCAATTTTTCGGTTTGCCATAAACAGTGTCCCCAGATGGTTTTGGTTTGGTTTTGGTTTGTTTTTTTTTTTTTTTTTTCTTCCAACACAAGCTTCCTGCCCCCAGCAGTTTGTGCACAGAGCTAAAACTATGCGTTTGCTGCTAGCTTTAGACATAACTGATCTGTTCCTTCTTAAAAATTTGAGAGTGGAGGTAGGGGGAGGGAGAATGCTTCCCCCATTACTTGTCTGAAGACAGGCACAAGGAGGAGCTTGCAAATGCTTGCTTGTGCCTGTAGAGCAGACCAGCGTCAACAGCCCATAGAGGGGAACCGGTGAACCTCCAGCTTGGAATTGCTCTGGAGGAACATGTTCAACTAACGTGAGTTGCTGGGCCACAGACATCGCAGTGCTTGAAACTAGACATTTCCTTCAACTGTTCCTCACCCATCTCATGGCTGGGGCAGCCATCAGAATTTTTTCTGTCCAAAAGTTGAAATATTTCCCCTTGCCATTATTCAATCCACCCAGGGACACTGCTGGTGTATGGGCTGTGTTTCTAATACCGATGGGACAAAGCTTACGGTCTGATCTCCACTTTGGTTTAGGGCTACTGTAACGCTATAGCTACATGTCTTTCTTACCGCTGCACCAAACACACTGGTTGCTGCAGGAAATAGGTAACACGGGGACTTCCTTGTGCAAGGCAACTAGGTGCAGCCGGGGCTACTGCTCTCTAAGGGCGTGGCAATGAAGAATTTTTCATCCCAGGCTTTCACCAGGAAGGAAAGCAGGACTCACCTCTCCCTTCATTCCGATTTCACTGTATGCCTCGCCCATCTTGTCCTTCTGCAGTGACTGCAAGCAGAGAGGGGGAAAGAGAAACAAGCCAGCCCCTGGGTGACTGCACTCCAAGGCTGTGCTTCTGGGGCTGCCTTGCCTTCAAAGCTTCAATATATTCCAGAGAAGAAGGGATAGTGGTGGGACTTGACCAATGTGCCTTTAAGTAGATGCTATACATGATCAAATCTGCTTAGCATATCAATACCACCTCATCTCCAAACACTTAAATGAATATAACTCTACCCTCAACCAAGTCATTTATCTAGCCTGGCGCCAGATACTACAACCAAAGCTCTCCAAAGAAAAACTTGAAGCAGCATTTGTTCAGGAGACAAGCACAAACATGCAGCTCAGGCCCAGGGAAAAGGGAAGCCTAACACTGCAGGGTGAAGGTTAAGAAAGAGGAGTTCTTCCTTCCTCCATCTGGGGAAGCAGTTCCCAAATGCTTACGACAAGCTGTGGTCAGAGCATCTCATTCAATGATGAAGAACAGTCTTGGAAACAAGCTCATTTCTCAGCAAGCACTGAACACACAGAAAGACATGAGCTTTAGCATTCATCTGTCTCCCCTTTTGGCGCACAGCCCAGCAGATTTAGCCCTAAGCAGCCGCTCTTAGATGCACTGGCGCTTGGCCTCTGTCAGAGAGCAGAGAGGCTGGAGAAGCAGCACATAAAATACTGCAGCACCAGTCACATGGGACGAAGGCTGGTTAGTCACTAAAGGCTAACATAAAGGGATCAGCAGGTATCTTGATCCAAATTCTTCTCCTCATCTGCCAATGTTTTTCTCCTATCACGGAGAAGGGAGCAGAAATTTTCTAGCAAAAAAGTGGGGGTAGAAGTGAAGTCTTTGAAAGCAGCTGCTAAGTTTGAACCAAAGCTGAAATTGGGTAGGGGAAAAAAAAGTTTCCTATCAAATAGAACCTCCTATTTCCAGCCATCCCTCCCTCTCCTCTCCCTCCAGCTCTCTCTACTCACAGTGTAGACGGTGTCCTGAGGGTTCTTTCTTCTCTGCTGTAAAACAAAAGAACAAAGTTGCCCACGTGTTGCACTACCAGCATCCCCCCACCACCTCGTATGTGCCTGTGCATTTGCTCTAAGGCACAGCTACAGCTCTACAGATGTGCCATACCCGTTACTGCCCATCTTGCCTCCACCCCATAAGGCTCTGTTAAGACAACTTGTTCTCTGGAAAATTAATTTAACTTTAATAATGGATAAAACTTTGCTCTTCTCTGCTCAATCCCTACAGCTGTCACCTGCAGGCAAGCCCTACATGCTGATGCAGAAGGTTTCCCCTCCCTTTTCCTTTGAAACTGCTGGGCTCTGCAGCAGAAACAGTTGTTTTGGCTGCTGCTTTACTTTGTTGGTACTTGTTTGGCAGCATCACGTGCAGCGAGCTCTCGTGAAACACCCACTCCTGCCTTGCCTGCTCCACATCCGCCCTGAAGCTGGGTGTCACTTCCTATTCTGGGTGGCTGCAAGCTCTCAGCAAAGTGACGGGGTGGGGGGGGGATGCGAGGGGCAAAGATCAAAGGAGGGGGGAGGTTTACTCTTGTCCCTGCCACGCTGCCAGCCGCCTGACTTACTACACAGATTTTGCTCTTCCCTCTCCAGGAAGGCACTGGTGCTTTGCAAACGCGTGATGTATGCCTGCATGTCTAAACAGCGGTTAGACATGAGAAGGAAGGAACCAGATTAAAAGAAAAAAGGTGCCTGTGTGGGAGGAAGTTACCTGGTGTCTCCCGCCCAGCTCAGGGTCTGCACCTCGCCTTCCCCCAAGAACATCATATTCATCTCTTTGTCCACGAGACAGTTTCTGAAATGAGAAGGGAAGAAGCAGCGACGGACATTATGATCATAAGAAAACAGATGTTGACTTAACACAGGAAAAGAAAGGGAACCCAGTTTGGTGTCCGACTTCATGAGTATTATAACAGAGCTAGAAATTATTTTACCCCTTAATGCAACTGTCAACAAAAATTTCTATGATTTCTATGATTAAGAAAACGACAAGTGGTTTGTGCAGCGCAAAACTGCAAGCCATTGCATCAAGAACCTTTCTTAAGTAGAAATGAGATGAAAATGAGAGCATGTGAGGGGGAGGGACTCTGACTTTCATGCTTTCTCTCCCACTTGTGACTGAAGATCCAGGAGCTTGGTTTTTCTTGCAGAACAGCTCGTCTAAACGTGCATCAAGCGGCTGTAGAAATTTTATGCGCAACACATTTCTTTTCTGAGAAAGGTTACCTTGGAAGAGGGCAAAGGAGACATTTCAGGCCAGAATAACACAGCTGACAATGCTACAAAAAAGGTGACAGGCAACGCTTCTTAAACTGAAAAAAATGCATTAGTGATCATACCTTACACAGTTAAACAGTAGACCTCATTACAGGATGTGGCTATGGTCAAAAGCGTGAGAGAAAAAAAAAATTCAAATCAAAAGACAACTAAACATAGCAAAAATAGCTAGAGTTTAATGCTGCCATGAGTGAGCAATTTAGCTAGGAAGGACAGGCAGGATCTTGTCTCTGTCCTCTCTAACTGCCTGAAGAGCCATCTGATGCTGGCTACGATCAGGGCACAGTGTATGAGCTACGCCTCTGGTACAACAGGTCTCACGCTGCGGGACAACAGGAAAGCTCGGGGATGGAGACAGCTAGGCTGTGATGACTCGGGCTCCACACACTTGATGATACAAGAGCTACAGTCGCCCAAAGTCAGCAGTGCAGCATTCCTGAGCATTTGCCCTTTCTCCAGTCCACATCAAAGAACACCGGCGGCACGGGTGGGGGCATGCCTGTGAGTCGCCCAAGGAATGGTGATAGGAAAGGCAGGAGCTGCAAGCCAAGTGCAGAGGGCTGGGCATGAAGTTGGGGTGCACAGATTAGATAGAACAGTCCAGTGGCTGCATGCACACACACAGAGTTCTCACAGGCGTGTTACATGGTGCAGCACACCGAGCATCGCCTCTGAAACGGCCTGTGTTCCTGGTATACCTTCAGCTCAGTGGATCACATCAGGAACCTACAGCCCATAGATCCATCTAGCATCCAGCCAGACAAGTGACAACAGAAGCTGCCCTTGTCAGGTTTTATTTTTCCTCCTTACAGCTGCTATGCTGCACGCTTGGGTATATCGCTTTCATTAGCTGGGTCATCAAGTTGTCCCGATCCACAGGCAGTTCATTATCTTTAAGTGCCCAAAAAGGTCTGTCTGGGTAGCAGATTTGAAAAGAAACAAACAAAAACTAGTAGTTACTTACATTATACACATCATCCTGGCCTGGTTGCAGCTGTGGTTCAGAGGTCTGGGTAAGCTGGAAGAAAGATCATACCATGAGCAGAGAGACAGTAGCTCCGTTCAGTCCTTTCACTCCCTCTCTCCTAGAAGTTACTCTCATCAGAAATGGGGCAACCCATCAGCAGCCAACCTGTGGCACCGATAGGGCTACTGGCAATACAAGCCACTGCTGCTATCCACATGCTAGGTTGCTCTCAGCAACCAGGCCATTTTACTTGCACATAACACCAGTTCACTGCCACGCAAAGCATCTGTGTTTGTTTTTTTTCCCCCAACTGCTTTTGCATTCCTATTCTGTGCGTATCATAATCCTGTGCTATTGAAAGTAGCCCTATCAGGTAATAAAATCGTAATTGCAGCCTGTGTTAAGAAAAACTGGGTATCTGGGACTGCTAACAACCAAAAGCACTCCCTGGGATGCCAGTCCTCCAGCAGAAGTGCTGCCTGCAAAGTTCCTGGGTGTCCTCAGCTTCAGAGGGCACAGGGGATCCCCTGAGTGAGGGGAGGAAGAGTGGCTGGCGAGCGCAGCGCAGCGCAGCGCAGCAGCTCCCTGTGCCAGGTTCATGCGCCTCCTTGGATGCTTTCCTGAGCCCTCCTTAACTACTGTGCTCTCGCCCCACACCAGCGGAGCTGCACAGGTCCTGCCGGCGGGTACAGGGCAACGCCCTGTGTGCCCCAGCAGCTCATCCTTCTAGCAGCCTCAAAAAGACTTCCAGTACCACAGGCAGCACTTTCATCTGCAGTCAGGATTTACACTGGCAACAGAAAAGCTTTCTCCTTTGGCATTACCAACTTCTGCTCGTTTCCTTCAAACATCCCTCCCTCCCTGTGGGTTCTGCACTGGCTTTGCAGTCCTGAGAAATGATCCCACTGAAGAGCTGGTGGGGCACCAGCAGCAGCACGACACCACCCTGTCTGGGCTCCTGCCGGTGATTTCGGCCACGACCTGGCAAGAAGCAAGCCGAGATCCCAAGCGTAGCAAGCCTTTGCTTCTGGGGCGGGTGCTGAGCCAGATGGGCAGACAGCAGCCAAGACATCTTTTGGCCTGCTTAGGCTTGGCTGAAAGCACCACTGCATTGGAGTGCCCTGTGCTGGGGAGAGGCAGACAGCTCCTCTTCTATGATTAGCAGAGCTCTGAGAGCACGTACATGTCTGGAAACATATGTGCCTCCATCACATTATGTTATCTTCTTCTGCGGAAGTGCACTAAGACCACTAAGTGTCTCCCTAGATGCTGAACAGCTGCTGGATGCTAACAAGAGCCCATCAAGTTGCATCCGTTCCGTCACCAACTCCTCTCCTATGGTTGTTGGGGTTATATCATTTGCATCATCACACTCATACTATCAAAGATGTCTGACTTCTTGAGATGTTTTAATACATCCTTTGCAAGCTTGGCATTTGTACTGAATTTTCTGCATATCCCCTCCTCTCCTTCCAATGACAGAGCAGAAGAAGAAACTACATCACAGTTGATTAGGTATTTCACAGCTACAACATCCAGAATCTCTGACTCCATCCATAACTGTAGCATCAAAATACTCTCATATACTCTCTTCCCCTCCGTTCATGAGCCCTCAGAAAGACCCCCCCCCAGATTGCGCAGGCTGGCACCAGAAAAGGAGGAAAGTAAAAAAAACAGAAGATAAAATAAAAAAAAAAAAAAAAAGGTCTTATTCTAAGAGACATGCTTCCTCTCCACCCCCACTTTCCAGCTAAGCCCAACTTGTTTACACCACCAAAGCCAAATGCATCAGTGTTTGGAGAGACTGACCTTCACTTTCACAAAAAGGGCTGTCATGATGACTGCATAAATGAAGAGGAATCCATCCAGTAAGTAGCAGAGTCTTGGGTCTGTCAGTCCAAGAATCGGTACGGCATCTGTAGAGAAGCATCAGATACATCAACAAACAAGGCCATTTGTATCACTGCGTGCTTGACGGCATAAATGTGGCAGTGCTGCATGGTGCTTCATGAAAAAATAGCCAGCGTGAGGGCAAATATGTCCATTTGCAAAGGAGATGGAAATCTGAATAAGCATCATAGGATTAATTAGTTCGGAAGGGACCACTGCAGGTCCAACCCTCTCTCTAAACAGGGTCAGTTAGACCAGGCTGTCCAGGACGTCAGCCAGCTGAGTATCTCCAAGGACGGAAATGTTTGCAACCTCCCTCAACCAATACAGGACACTTTACCCAGCATTTCCCACCCACAGAGTCCAGGCTCTGCTCCCCGCAGCTCGCAGGCACAGGTCAGGGAACAAGCACAGGATCTGCGTGGAGGTAACCAAGGACGGCTAACGCCACAGTTACTGCAAGAAAGCCTCACACAGAGCATTTGTTTTCTGGGAAAACCCAGCAGCAGCTCCTGCAGGGATTCATTACTGGGCCTGGTTAGGAATTCCTTCATCAACTAAAATTCGTGTGTGTGTGTGAGAAAATACGCCCATTTGGAGAAAATTTTAGGGAAGGGCTTCACAGGACAAAATTCTGTGTTAAATGTAAAGAAAGACTGACACCACCATAGTCGGCTGGAGATGCAGGCTGAAATCACTACTCTATTCAGAAGAGGAATTTGAAGATGCATCTCCCGTATCCCAGGTTATATATTGTAACCATAAAGCTGTGGTGTCTTCTCTGTGAGGGTTGTCTTGGGCTCCCAGTTTGGGGATGTAGGAGACCATTAATCATGAGAAGGGAACTATGGGCAGGAGAGACAGACTTTTAACCCCAGATGTCAGGACACATCCATGAGATACCCATGAAACACTGTGATGTGCCTTTGCTTTGAGAGAAGGTTTTAAACCTGAATTCCCTCCACAGGAACCTCAACCGGCTGCCTCTTGTTAGATGGATTGCCCCCAGAAGATTTTTATTTTTTATTTGTTTTTAAAAGAAGTGTTAAAACTTTTCCGAGGGAGAAAAATCTACTACTACACTAACTGAGAGCTCAATAAAATTGTTACTCAGATATTGACGTTCGTTTCCTAGTCAACATCGCATATGTTTATATCCTGACCGCATCAAGCAGGGCACAGTAATATTGTTGGTTTTCAGCAGCTAAAACTGATAAAACTGCCCCTCTATCAGTTCATAAACATATAGTAAGTTCACAAATGTAGCTAAAAAAAAAAAAAAAAAATCAAAGCAATTCAGGTTGAGAAGCCTAAGTAACTGTAGATCCAATATGCATCTCCAGGTCCATCCCCAAAAGAAAAGCTGTATTGCGGAGTTTTTCTAAAAAAAAAAAAAAAAAAACAAAACTAAAAATTAATCTGAGATGCGCTTTGTACAAAGAATTGGAGGGAGTTCAAAAGAGAAATACAAGAGTGATCAAGAGTCTGTGAAGCTGTTCAATGAAGATAAATTGAAAAGAATTGGTATGATTCATCTTCTTCCTAAGGTGAACAAAGTATGGCAATTCTTATTAACCACATGTGATGGAGGGTAGTTGAACCACTCAGTGCTGCGCTTCAAGGTGCTGAGTTACTCCAGTGCTGAGAGCGGGACCATTCTGCATGCTGGGGTTTCTCCCTGGCCCATCAGGCCACACTGATGATTTCATTAGAAGAAACTTGCAGATGACATCCAGGCAGTACGCACTCACCGCTGTGAGGAATTCTCCTTCGCAGAAATAAAGTTAATGATGATGGCCTGTTGCACTGCTCAAGTGTGCAATCTGTATAAAGCATGACTGAAAAGCTGTGCCTGGCTACTTGGTAATGTAATTGTAAATTCTCAGGGAGATGATGATACAATCACTGTTCCCACTGAGAGCCTAACACAGTTAGAAAAAAAAAAAAAATCCAAACAGTAGATTTGTTTGCTTGTCTGAACTAGGAGTTCGCATTCTTTTTTTTTTTTTTTTTAAATCATGTGTTTAGAAACAAATCCATGGAAATAAATTAAGATCCTATATGGTTTTCCTTCTTCCCCTCCTACTTATATTACTTTGAAAATAAGGTTCAAAGCAGTTAAACAACAACCTTCACCACATTTTTTTCAGGATTATAAAACCTCATATACATGGGCTAAATGGAGACAGAGAGATTAAGTTATTTGCCCGACATTGTATATTAAACCAACAAACAAGCTGAGATTAGCTTCCTAGAGTTTTTCTTCTAAACAGTCACGGGACAATATTTTACGCCAGAGTTCATTCAACACAAAACCAGCACGAATCACATTAGACTTGGTAGCTAAAATGCAGTATCAGGGAATACAGCTGTACAGCATCCAGAGGCAATTTGTTTCTAGCAGTAATTCAGCTGCTTTTGCGCAGTGCAGCAGTCTGCCCCAGCATACCCTGGCCTCGAGCTGGATGTGTCCAGAAGCAGCTCAGGGTTTTCCAGCGCTGTGCCCAGATCAGAAATACAATGTAAGGAAGGCGAGCAGCCCAGCACAGAGCCAGGCAGAGCCAGGAAGCCTGGGGGTATCTGAGATGCTGCTGAAGAAGGCTTTGGAGATCCTGGCCCTGATTCCCCTCTTCCTGTACTGAAGCAGGGCACGTTCACACTTCAAGTCCAGTATTTCTCCAGCACTAATAAACTCCCCAGACCAGGAGGAGCTCAAGCAGGAGACGTAGAGGACTATGGAGAAGAAGTCAAGAGTGCAGGGGACTTAGCTGTAGCTCCATGTCAGTCATGGTCAACCTTGGCTGACTCTGTGGAGCTGCCCAAGTGCCGGCGCGGTGCTTATCTGGGGCAGCCTGGATTAAAGCTGTTCAATGAGGGAAATCCCGCTAGACATAGTCTGACTGTGATGGTTCCTGGAAAAATACTTATTGAGACAATGATAAAGCCCGACGCTTAGAAACAAACCAAGAAAATTAATTAGTTCATGTCTTTTCTTTCTTAACATGTTTGGTTTCTGTATTCTTTAAAAAAAAAAAAAGGTACAAAGCACTTTCTAAATAATAACCTTTGCAACAGCTTTCCAGATTAAAAAGCGAGAGAGAGAAAGAGACAAAAGATATGAAGCCTATTGAAACAAAGGTCAAAGAGATACGAAGCGTAATGAACAAATAGCTGTTAAAAAAGCTAGCATCCATTCATATGAAGAGGATCAGTTTACGTTTTTAAATCGCTAGAGGAGGGGTTACTGCCTCTGCAATATTTGCACAACATGCACAAACAGAAGGCCAGTCCCTTAGGCGCTGCCAGAATGTACTCTTTGCCCCTCATCAGCCCTGAGCCGTGGCTCGGGGTCTGAGGCCACGGTCGCACCGCTGCAGTGGATGGGCTGATGATGGGAGCTGGGCAGAGCCAAGCCTGCTAGGCTTGAGGGAGCAGTCACACTCAGCTGCCTTACACAAAGCAAAGCAGAAATAATAAATATTTCACTGATAATTCCCACTCTGTTAACCTTACAGATTACCCAGTGCCTACTGTAAGTTGCACAACATCTTCTCAATATTCATATACCAGTGTTTTATCAGTCCAAATTTCAGCAGTCCAGTAAAATACAGCAAGGTTTTAAAGCAAGATGTCTAAGTACAGGCACGCGGCACAGCCCATGTCAGGTCACAGGCCAGCAGGGAATACGGTTACGTTGCATTGTAAATGATGCCAAGCTTACTGCTGAAACGTGGCTCAGAAAACAGCACCTCTCTCCCCAGGCATCAAAAAGGAGTTGAGTCACAAGTCGACATCTAGGTACACAAATATGCAAGGGCTGAAGGATGAGGCCAAAGTGGTGCTCTCCCTCGGGAGGGAAGCAAGCTCTGAAGGAATAACAATTAGAAAGTTTGCACTTAACTCTTGCTCACCGCGTGCTCCTATGGAAGTAGCTGCACGGTTAGAGCTCCCGTTACACAGCAGGGATGACATTTACTTGTAGACCACCGGGATGTTAATGAAACCCAGAAACAAACTATGCAACTTACAGCATTAGGTAATTACTTTTTTTTAGGAGTTTGTACACAGGAGAAGCTATGGAAAGCTTTGTAGAAGGAGCTGACACAGGCTGAGTGAGGACTGGCAGAGCCATAGCAGCTGAGGCAGCAGGAAACGAGACGGAGTCAGTAAGGGGAGCACTGCTGCATTTCGTGACAAGTTGCCAGCCCCTTCTCAATCCCAAACCCCAGATGCCTAAAAAAAAGCCCAAGCTGTGCTTCTGCTGCTGAGCAGTTTCTTCCCAGCACCTCCTCTTTCCAAAGCCTGGACTTTTGTTACTCTCTTCTTCTCTCCTCCCACCCAGCAATGCAGCCCTACCCTCCTCTACGCCCGGGCGCTCTTTCGTGCAGCTGCAGGTCCGTGCACACACATGCCCGGACCCCCGGCTGGCACACCTTCGTCCTGCTCCACACTCACACCTCCGGAGCAGCACTGCCAGCGCCCCTGCAACAACCCCCTGCGGCCTTTTACTTTTTAAAGTGGGAGGGGTGTGTTTAAAAAAAAAAAAAAAAAAAGGCCAAAAAAAAAAAAGGCAAGCACACCTACTGCTAATGACAACTGAGTGAGAAAAAACTCTCCAGCAACAGACCAACAGGAACCCAGTTAGCCAAAGGAGAGGAAGCCCGTGGGCCAGCGAGGCAGGCCATGCTGCAGGCGCCCGCCTCGAGCAGGCTGCACGGCAGTCCGCCCTGCGCGGTGTGGTTTCGGGGAGCAGTTTCAACACCCCGGCTCAGGCCCAGCACCAGCTTTCCTGCACGTGGCCACTGGTTTATTGCCAGCCACCTGCACATGCTGACAGCTGCTCCCCGCTCCAGGCTCAGAGACAGCCGTGGAGTCCCAAAACCCACGCCCAGAGACATCCGTCCCACTCCAAAACATGGCACAATCGGTGGATGCTGCACCCCAAAGCTGCCCGGGGCCCGGCCCCCGCCGCTGGCTCAGTGCAGCCAGTCCCAACGGGGATCTGCTGAAGCGAATCACTGAAACACGGCCTGGACCCTTGAAACACGCCAGTGCATTTTCTTTAAATAGGGTTTTCCCCCTCCGACATTTTTAGTGTGCATCTGGATTGAGTTAGACCATGATTCCTGGTAATAGTTTAAGAAATACAGACCATAAAAGCTGAACTACTTGTAAATTCAGATCAAATCTGTCCACCATAAAATTTTCTCTCTCCCATGGCCCTCATTAAGTGATTCATTTAAGAGTTTTATTTTCAGGGATTACCAAAATTCAGTAACACAGTTATAGGGAAGATAAAACTCTTCATTTAAAACCGAGTTTCTCAGTGAAGCCCATGAAAACCAATCCCAGTACGAGATATTTATTGATGCAACGGCAGTTACATACAAAGGTGTTTAAAGGCAGAAACTAGTGCCTTCTCTCAACAACCGAGAGCTGCCACAGCTGCACGCTGGGGTGGAGCAGGTAGCATTTCTCAGACACCACCATCCTCCACCAGCAGCGATCCAAAGGACTCACGGTCGCTGCATGCAATTCACCTTGCTTCTACCCCTTACATTCCAAAACCCTCTTGCTGCAGGTTTGTGTTTCCAGACCCCCCTGGGGGACAGACTTTCACAGCTGCGAGTGCCACCGCCACCACGCCACACATAAGGCACCCACCAGATTTTCTCTAGGGAGGCCGATTGCAGGGAGAGGCCGGGTGTGATGGATCCTGCCTTGCTGCCGCTGTCTGAAAGCAAGATGCTGAACCCAAGATAGCTGCCTGGGCTCAGGGCAGAAGGGGAAGAGAGACGAGCACCCCGCATGGTGCTTCACTTCAAGCATATACAGGCTTGCATCTGAAGAGACAACCCAGACTAAATGCCTAAAAGTTAGCCACCTAAAATTATGAAAGATAATCCTGTTCATAAAGAACATATCTATCCTGGGGGTTATTTATTTATAGTTATATTTTTCAATGTTTTTACTCATAGACCATAAGTAATAAACAAACCTGGGACACTCCAAGACTGAAGAAGCAGAGGCCAAATCCTCCTTCCTTCGCAGAAGGAAGAGGCTCCTCCATGCCATTTGTTTGGGCACATCAATGGAAAAACCTGAGTGAAAACACTGAGGCAAGAAAAGGCCTGGATTGCACGAGGCATGGTGTATTAACAGATCTGATGCGCACAGTAGCCAGTTAACAGAAATGAGTGAAGTGAAAGGTGTCCCTTGCATCAAACCAAGTATGTGAAGTCATGAGGCTTCTCCCTTTATGTGGAGACTAAAGATAGTCCTGTTGATCATTAAATTATATTAAGATTACAAGGCCAAGTAACTTTCAACATAAAGCTTCCCCACTACCATATCTGCAAAACCAAGACACCCAAGGAAAGCCAACAGGCTCTTAACACAGGAAGATACAATAACCCCACCACAGCAAAATGCCATTGAGCTTGCTGCCTGAAAAAAATTTCCACATTTTTCTTTTTATACTAGCCACTTGCCTTTGCAAAAAAGTTCAAAGCTGTTTACATTACTGGTTTTTTTTTTTATCACCACCAGTTCCTTTAGCGCTGAGGAAGACTTTTGTATTTGTCATCTATACACCATCACGTATTTATGAAACACAACATGGTCAAAAGCACAGCTCGTGCCCATGAAGTTCAACATTATGGTTTGCTGTTGTCCTCAGCTTTAAAGCCAAGGAGCAAACTGCTGATATGATCGGGATTCAGGTTGCAATACCAGACATTAGGCAGCCAGAATAATTACATTTAAAAAAGGAAAGTGTTTCAAGTCATTAACTTCCATTTTTTTACGCCAAAGCGTGTTAGCCCTATGGAAACATAAGGTCAAGTTAAGGTGCTTTAGGATCCTCGTGAGCCCTTCATACTCCTTCTAGGACCCCGTTCACAGAGGCACTATCACAAAGTTCAAATAGTGCAAGTTTCCTTCTGATTTATTTGGGAAGAAATAGATTCAAAAGAAGGAAATTATTATAATGCCACAAAGGGCCAAACATTTTCTAGCACATCATGGAATAAAGACACTAATAAAAAGTCCAGGGTATGTAACAGGAGCAAGACAGGAAGATTTCCAACAGCTGTCTGATTTGTGGAAAGAGGGCCCAGTGCATGCAGAAAACAACAGTAAATGGTCTACCTTTCCTGTCTGAAGGTGAAGAAGATTAACTTTGAACATCATTAAATAAGGCAATCTTTCACCCTCCAAATCTTTCCAGAGCCTCGTCAGAAACAGAAAGGAGGGGAGTGCCTTGCTCATCTCTGGAAGGGGACTCCTCGCTTCGTCAAAACAGTCAGTCATTCTCAGAAAAAGCAACTGCTTTCACTTCTCAGTTTTGCAAGAACTTGGTGCAAAGGGCTTTCCTGAAGCAAACCTGATGTTGCCTCCTAGAGACAGCAAACCATGCATAGGGCAATTGCAGAACCTGGATCCAACAAGCTCAGGTGACAGATGCAAACCATGCAGCTCTTTCAGCTTTTGTAGGGGGTTTAGATTAGACACATGTTCTTTTACTAGACCCATCTTCATCAGGGATAGCAGAAGTTTAACCTAGTTAATGCAAAAGATGTTCCCTGCTGTAAATTTTCTATTGGCTAATCCAATCTGGTGTTTGCCAAGAGGCAAGACTTATTGTTCAAATTGTTGTTTAGGTCACTTACCCCTTCCCTTCCCCTACCAATTCTGTCTGTGCATCCTACAACAGTAACTACCCCAGACTGATTTAGTATTAGGTGGCTTTTTCATGTTTAGCTTCTACAACCCAATGCACATGATAGAGAACTACTTGAAAGGATTCAGTCTACACATCTTGGCTCACCAGGAATCCCAAAGAGACTACATGCCGCAAGGCTGAAGAGAGAGACACTAAGTCAGACACAAGATGCTGTTGATCGCAATCAGATGTGTTTCTCTGTTCAGTGAGCACCCCACAGACGTGGCAGACGTTTCCCTAGCACTTTAAATTAGCACTTTTAAGTTAGACTTTAAAAAAAGCAGTGGAAGTATGGTTATGCTAAACAGCTTGCAGCTTGCTCACTGCCGATGGCTCCAGTAATCAAATATGCTGATAACATGAAGAACAGTTCCCATGTGGAGATTTATAAGGCACCCCCGCTCACTTTCATCCTACTTTCAGACTTCCAAAAGTCATTAAGCTTATGCTGGTTATCACTGTTGGCGGGAGATGGCTTTCTACTAGCTGGGTAATAAAGTAATAGAAATATCTGTGCACAAAATATTCAGAGTCAGTCAGCAAGCAGTGTGTTTTCTTCTTGTCTCAGTGCAGGGAGTGACTACTCTGATTTCACGGCTTGTGTCAAACTAAGCGCAGAGATGCACAAGCCCAAGAAGAGACTTAGGAGGGCTGTTTTGTCTCAGACTGAGCTCAATTGCAACTGTCTTGATCAGCTGCAAGCAGAGAAGAAAAGTAAGAAACTTTTCCATCACAACGAGGCAAGCTAAGTGTTGAAGTGCTGGGTGGAGAATCGCAGCTACAAGGCTATTTACAGACGTAAGCCAGCCCATGAGCAATTCCTTGCATTGCAGCCAACAGGGACCAAAGCTGCAACAATTACAGGAGCCATCCTTGATGTACGGTCGAAGCCGTGACCGTACAGTCATCACAGCTAATCCTAATGGGAGGAAAACGGTTTTCCTTTCCTTTCTCCAGGATCAATTTCCACCTAAGCTGACTGACAGCACCAGATCTAACCTGTGCCAAAAGAGCCAGTGCCAGGAAAGGCACCAAACCCCCAATAATGAAAGCCATCCACTTTTTTAGGTGAAGCCTATAGCAACATTTTGCAAAACCCAGGTGTCTGTCATCCAAGGCTTCCAACGCATTCCTCATATAATGTTTTTCAGCAGATAAATATCATGACTGAATTATATGGAAGGTAGATGTACGCAAAGCCGCAGAAAGGTTGCAAGTTTTACTTTAGCTCATCCAGCAGGACAACTGGGAGCAGACTGTTTTAAGACTTGCAAAGTCTCAAGATGTTTTCATTGCAGCCCCCGTATAGACATCCACTTGCAAGAAGGCTTCTGAGGGTGAAGAAATTACTAGTGAAGCTTGGTGTCAAGCAGAGAAACAGTTAAATCATCTTACAGAGGCAGTGGCAGCCTCAGGTTATCAGGCAGGAAGAAGGTTATACCAGCCCCAACGGCCAAGGCTCCGTACGTTGTAGTAGCTACGTGCATCGGGGAGGGAGAAGTTTCAGAGCAGACCTTCAGTCCCCCGCTACTGACCCACTTAATGGAGAGCCGTGCGTGTCAAGCCCCACCTCTGCTAGGAGCCGCACAGACAAAAAAAACCCATGCGACAGCAGTTACGTACCAGGTAAAGAGAAAGGTTCATTAAGGATTTGGTTTAATATTAATTCCCTGCGTATTCTTTTTGCAGCATTGCTCACCAAAGCTGAGCAATAATAATAATAATACCACTGGGGAATATTCCACTCTGAACATGAAGCATTTCACAGGCCTCATAAAAAAGAGCCAACGGACGTACTACTGCAAAATGGAAATATCACAACAAACCTTGCCCTTCAGCAAAGGGTCTCGGAACAAACGCTAACTCCACGGACTCTCACAAATTCCCCTTGAAAAAAGAAGGAATTGCTTCTTCTGCCTCGGAAATGTTCCTCCTCTGATTTGGGAGTGTTCACATTTTCATGGCATGTAGCAACTATACAGCTAAAATTTTATGGCAAAGTAAAACACTGCTAAAGAGAAAGGACATTAGTCAAGGATCTGCAAGTGGGGCACAGGGGCATGGCTTTATGTCCCCATTAACACCTCACTGCTGAGGTCTGTGTTCCTCTGTCAAGTGATAGACCTGTGGCTGGTACACCTCCATCACTACATTTTATTACAAGCCACCTGAAGGACTACACCCAATTCTAGAAAACCTTATCTCGGATTGCATTACAGGATAAGAAAAAAAAAAAGGCTGTATTTTGAGACATTCCTTCTCATACATAGGTAGGAAATGGCAAATATGAAGAGCCTATATACATAGATTTTGACCGAATTAAGGACTGTTAAAAAGCAATGCATTCCTGTGGGGGAAATAGGAGGAAAGAATTTCCTTATCATTAAGGTCTTTACACAACCTTTATTTTGCCACCTGTAAGATAAGAATAAGGAAAGTAATATTTTAACTGTCAAAAATATGGAATTGCTCTCAAAATCTCAGATGCTAGGAGTTAGTACCTTCTTAATTGCTTCTCTGTGGAGAGACAGACTTGTGGAAAAAGCAAAAGAAGGAAAGAAATAGGACCCCAAGCTCTCATCACAAAGAAAATTTCCTGTGTATTTACAGTGAGTTCAAACCTTCCTAAGTCAGTGTTTGTGACCGAGATGAAAATAAATGATATGCTTTACCCATATCTACAGGGCATGCAGCTAATATTAAAATTTATCAAGTTAATTCCAGTGCTCAATATATACATTAAAATATATATCTACATCACCACTAACAAATGAGAAGTGTTAACAGAGGTATCTGTTAGCCATGAAACTACTTTTGCAAATATTAAGTAAAGTCTCCAGTCATGCCTGATATCTATTCTGGTAGTTAATTTCTATTGTTTTAACAGTATTTGTTCCAATTATTCATTGGTAGTAATAACTACTGTGCTGAAAGGGAATATGAGAGCTTCCAAGCAAAGCTATCTAAAATTAGATAAGAACACCAAATTTAAGCATATAATGGTGCAGGGTTAGGAAAAAAATAAATCACAATTTCTGTTGTTGATGTGTAACAGGGGTATTAAAATAGCATTTTTTGTAAAGCAGAAAATCATCAGCATTGTAGGATTTCTGGAAAAGCATTTTTTTTTTCAGCTTTAAATTTTTCAGTGTTCTATGTTGTTGACAGTCCAGGTAACCGCTCTGTATTTAAGCTTACATCGCAGACCTATTAATAACATAAAATCATTTTCCAAAAGAGGCTCAACTTCAGAGTTCATTTGCTAGCGATAGTTACAGACAATGTTGCACAAAGCTTTAGTGACCCATAGCAATGTTCTGGGTCAGCTTGTCTGAAAAGCACATGCCAAATTGTGCACTCCCTCTATCCAGGAAATCTCCATCGATTCCTGCAAGCATTTAATGATGAAGTCACCAGCTCATGTTCTGCATGCTGCAAAAAGGATGGGATGATGACAGGAATGCACTAAAGACCCTGCGATTTCATATAGTTCTTGAAGGTGCTGGTTTCAGAGGGGCAGAAGAAGGAAGTATTTGAACATTATTAACACAATGGGATTTTTGCAGATCTTTTTTGTAACGGGAGAAAAATTGGAAATATTCTACAGTAACGGTCAATACACCAGAGTGAGTACTAGAGTTAGACATCAGTCCACCAAAATGGACACTGCAGGATCTATTTTATGCCATCAAGCACATATGATGATAGAGATGGGATTTCAGAGGTTGGTCTGTATTTGCATTAAACCAAGAACAAGTTGAATTATAGACACAAAG